AACTTCAATTTTTCTCTTGCAAAGAAAAGTTTAAGATACTTTTAATATTTTGGTGATTATATTATTATAAAAAAAAAACAGACAATTTAAAAAAATAATGAGTTATAACCATTTAATATTATTTATAACTGATTAGAGAAATGTTTTTGTTATAAGTTTTGATTTTCAAATACTCAATTAGAAAGAGCATTGAAAAACTGAGCCCATCCTCACTCAAAAGTCGATCTCAGACCAGGAGCGTTCGAATGGCATGAAATTTTCAGGATATGTTGGGGCTATAGTGAGGAGGCTATGGTTAAATTTTCAGTCCTGTATCATGATGTTTGAGGGAGATATTGACCAAATAAGGGTAAAAAATAGCTCATCTCGTCTGCAAAAATTCTCTATGGTCTTCAGTCTACACATTTAATATTTTTCTTTTTGTTTGAAAGAGCATGTCAGAATGCAATGTCTATGAGAGTTTTTTTTAAACTCTTACTTTTTAAGGGAAGAAAGGGTATCGAAAGTTCAACGACTCAAAAAAACTCTCTAATAATTGCGCTCTAATTATATAAATGTTTGCATATATAATAAAAGCAAAGCTTAATCAAAAAAAAAACGGGCTCTCATAGACACTACAGTTTTACATGCTCTTTCAAACAAAAAAACTATTGGCTACAATGAAGCTCTTTTGAGAAGTCTTGCAGATGCGATCGAAAACCTATTAAATGAGAAAAAAAACGAAACATATTTTCGGGTTTTTTTCGCATAGAGAACGACAGAAATCTTCAAAAATTTATGGAAAAAAAACGAGGTGCCGAGTAGAAATTTTGAGAGATCAGATCACGGGTTATCTTTCTCTGCATTTATCTTAATTTCGGTCATTCCGATGAAAAATGGCTTTTTTTGAGAGAGAGGAAAGCCAGCCCTACCAATTAAGAAAAGTGAGCTCTAACCGTAGACTTCAGAACTTTAAGAAATAGTGCACTTTCTAGAGTAGACTTTATTTTATCAAATGAACTTTTCCACGTTTCTATGCAATGTGTTCATCATTTGATAGAACCTTTTGTTTTTTGATCACTAATTTCAACAATGATTTCCGCTATTATCCAGTTAATCCATGCCTTAATATTTTCAGAGTGCTATATTTGATGATGAACACATAATAGAGAAGAGTGCAAGATCTCATTTGATATAATAAAGTTTTCTCTACAAAATCCACTATTTTTTAAAGTTCTCAAGTCTATAGTTAGAGTTCACTTTTCTTAATTATTAATTAAATTTTAATTAATGTTTCAAAAAAATCATGTTATAGAGAGTTATTGCAAAATGAATTCAGTTTTCAATGTTCTTTCTAATCGAATATTTGAAGATCAAAATTTATAACAAAAACATTTCTCTAATTAGTTATTAATAATATTAAATTATTATAACTCATTACGTTTTAAAATTGTCTCTATTTTTCAATAACAATATAATCACCAAAATACTAAAAGTGTCTTAAACTTTTCTTTACACTATATACCTCCTTTCATTTTTTCAGTGTCTTAAACTCATGCAGTATACTTTAGATAATATGTATTATACCTATCGTCATTATCATCGGCAGACATATTATCATGAAACTGAAAGGCTTGATTAAGACCATGATGAAGACTTTCAATAAGCATCTCATTATTAATAAACTTATTTGATTGTTTTATTTTTGAACGACAATTATGTCCTAGCAAGCATAGTTATTAAACATATATATTTCATTTTATAATTCAAAAAATAAATATTACTTTTGGTTGATGCAATTGAATATGGTAATGAAGAATCAATACTAGTACGTCGGTATCGAACATCAATTGGACGATAACCAGGTGGATAAAGACGATTTTGTGTAGCCCAATCAACCATCTTCTCTTATTGTTTTTATATGCAATTTTCAAAATGAATCGAGAGAAAAAAAAACCGTTTTCAAATAAGTACATACATTACACACAAACACACACACATACATACACATGCAACTATTGAAATTTTGTTTTTTTTTGTTTTGTGTGTTTTGTTATTTAACATAGAGATGTTTGAAAAGAGAAAACAACAGCAACCGATAGTGAATAGTTAATAATCATCTATTCTTTTTGTTTGCCTTTTTTCAAGTGGAATAAAAGACGCAAACTCTTTAAAAAATATTCTTTTCAAAATACAATTGAATGAAAATAATGCATAAGATTGCTTCGTTATTTATACAATGTCAATAAAAGATGAATATAAAATGTTTTCTTTACCTTGTTAAAATTTTAAAATATCTTTTTACAAAAAACAAAAAAAGAAAATTTAATTATGAATATATGTAATTAATCTAAAAGTTTAATGAACAAATACATCAATATTAAAAAAGATTTTAGAATATTTCTATTCATTTATATATATTTAGATCAAATTTTACATAAAATAAGTTGATATTATTCCTATTGCAAATCCATATGCAACTAATTTGAAAAGTTTCCAATATTGATTTTTATTTTTCATATTAGTTAATTCATTATCATATTTGTTTAAATCAATATAATAAAAGAAGCATTTTTTATAAGTATTCATACAAATATAAATAAAACAAGTTAGAAGTAAAATAAAGTCAATAAATAAATATGCATTCATTCCAAAAAGTAAACCTAATAAATAATAAAAACCAAATATGAATAAATCATATCGAAGAATTTTAATATAAGAATAAAATATATATAATCCAGTTATAATCAATTTAGAAAATAAAATGATTAATGACCAATGAATAGATAAAATATTTTTTGATGTATTAAAATTAATAAATTTCGTTAAATATACTTGAGGTGACCACAATTGTTGAAAACATTCAATATGATTTTTAGTGAATTGTGGAAGTAGAAAATATTTTGAAATCGTACAATATTCAATATTAATACGAGAATGATGATATATCAATAAAGAATTAATAGAACCTAAAGGAAATAATATCAATTCAAAATTTGAAATAATATTTTTTTTTTTTGATTTGATACTTTGATTATCTTCATAAGAATATTTGGTAATAGGAATAATATTCAATTGATTTTCTTGTGATTCCTTATGTATTAATAATTGAGAAGGACAAGATTCATATGGATTTAAATCTTTTAAATCAGTTTTTTCAAGTAGAACTATGTTCTGTTCTTCGTTAGTCTTTTTTTCTAAAAAGTAAATTTAAAAAAATAAAAATAAAATTTCTTTTTTTGTTGTTTTTGATCTTCACCCATTTGTTGATGTTCATTATCGAAAAGTATTGATTGAAATTGATCATTTTGTTTTTCTTCATTTGATATTACTGTTAATTCTTGTTCTATTAATATTGCATGTTGACTATCGACATGTGTTAAAGGATGTTCAGTTATGAAACTATATTTGGTTTTAAGATGATGATGAACTTTTGTTGTTATATTTTCTTCTTCTTCATTATTATTAATATAATTATTAAAATTAAAATGATGATATTCATTTATTGTTAGAGAATCTTCAGGTGTTGTATTAGGTTCGATATGTCCATCGTCTTCTGATTGATTAAATTTTAAAAAAGAATCAATTGATTGACGAATTATCAGTTTTGATTTTATTGATGATTGAAAATCTTCAGAATTATTTTTCGGATAATGAATTATGTCATCATTATTAGTAATAAGATTACATTGAGAAATATGAAGAATTTTATCTAAATTATCATTCTTTATTGAAGATTTCAATGTTTCATGTATATCTGTTTGTATATTAAATATTCTTTCATATTTATCATTAATTGACTCATCCATTATTTCTTTAACATCATATAAATCATCTTCAATTTTATTTTTATATATTTTTTCATGATTAATTAAAATAGAATTCTCATCAATTTGATTAAATTCGTTTGAAGAATTCATTCTTATTTAATTATTTACAAATATTTCGTTATCTTAATCAATTAATTAATTATAGATTAAATAGTAACATTATTTCCGATAAAAAAAAACAATATAATAAAGAATGGCGGTTTTTATGTAAATAAATAATTATTCAAATTTTATTTT